ATAATAAGAAATGTAATAAAATGTTAAGGCCAGGAGGAATTTAATTCACTTATGGAAACATTCAAACCACAGATAAAAGTATTGTGCACACAGGGCTCAGTACACCCTAGCACACGTTAGCACACCTTCTTCCAAATATCCCAAAATTCCCCTGAACCAGATTGCATAATGAACACAATACACAGCAAGAGTCGGTAACGTGTTCTCATAATGTAGGCTTCCATGGAAATCATTGTAACTATCCACAAAATCCGACTGAGCGCTCTGGTGCTGATTTACTAAAAGCAGTTGAGAATCTTTATTCAACAATTGGTATGCATATTAACTTAAATTATCCAATCATGGGCAAGTGAAATAAAAAAAAAAGGAATCTGCTTTTCAAGTGATTAGACAACTGGTGAAAATGCACACAGCTAATTGTGTGAAGATCCTGAACTCCTTTAGCGAATCATCCTCGGTCTCTCTGGCATCTAAGCGATTCTTAGTGAATCCGAAGGGATCGGTTTAGGTGGTAGAAAACGTTTTTGGTTTGCACAGATCAAAGAATTGAGGGGAGGGCGTAAAGCTTGGATAAGACCGAGAGAGAAAAAGTATACTTGTTGCCTATAGCAACTATTTAATTTTTTTGTGTCATTCTCTCAGATAATAAAGCTGAAATCTGATTGGTCACTCTGGGCAGTAACTGCACTTCTGCTCCCAACGACACATTTTTTTCGCAGGTGTCGCAGGTTATCGCAGGTATAATCCAATCTATACCCCATATTAGGTTTCTACCTGTCGAGTTATTGTGGGATTTGTAGTGCAACCCCAGGCTGCTACCAAACGTTACCATGGACATTGAATCACACATGTACCGGCAATGGCAGTGTGTATAGAATGAATTATAAAGTCCTATGTATTACCAAACCTTCTGCATCCCTTAGGAAGTATAGAGGGGCACCCAACCATCAATGTATAATTCTATGAAAACACTGCCTATCAGAACATACGTTTACAGATGACTTCTAGGAATCGATTGAGTTAATGACAATGGTCAGACGAATCCTCGGTGTATAATTCTGTTTTGATCTACCAACAACAGTCAATAGATTGCCGTTTGTAAAGGAATTAAACTGCACACAGGCTGCTTTTTACTGCAACCAACTAAAGGCTACTAGACCGCATTAGAAATGATTTCACAGCCAGAAAAGCCATTTGGAGAATTCAGGGAGTTTAGTAGTTTGTGAAGTTTCCCGTGCAGCCCATGCATTTTCATTGCTGTGTTTTGTATGATCATTTCACTGAGCTCGTTGTAGGAAGCCAGTGTCAGCACAATGTAAAGGTGCAGAGGTATGGATCCATGTCCTATGCCTGGCTGTGCTCTGCTCCATGACATGTGCTGCACACAGCCCAGTTCCTGTAATGAGGGATCTGTATGCACAGTGATTATTGGGGACCTTGCAGGGAGTTGGGTGTTTGGCTGTGGCCAAGTCATGTGTTCATCTCCCAGCACAGCTCCTCTTCCAGTCACTGACCTTTTTCTGACTTTCACAAATCCGAGATCGTTCAAGCAAACATCCAAATACCAGATTATTGTTTTATTCATAATCACTAAGTTATTTGGCTGAGGTGATTGCAAAATGTAACTCTATCTTAGCTACACAAATGTCACATTGAATGCTGCAGTCTTTCTGCATACTGCCTTACAGAGTCTGATTGTTATATGATATATCTATAATTTCAAGAATAGTATTATTAGTATTTTATGGGTTTAAGATACTAGTCCGAAACGTTGTGCACAGTTATTACAAAGGGGGTGGTGGAACTAAGGAGAGAGGCGAGACAGAGTGGGAGACGCAGCAGGATAAAAGGGAGAGATAGAGAGTGGGAACACTAGGAGGCCCAAAGAAGAGAGAGAGAGAGATAAAGAGAGAGAGATAGAGAGGGGGGCGGCACAGAAAGGGGACAGAAAGAAAGAGGAGAGGGTGAATAGATGGGGAGAGAGAGGAGGGGGGGGGCATATGGAAAGGAGACAGAAAGAAAGAGGAGAGGGTGAATAGATGGGGAGAGAGAGGAGGGGGGGGGCATATGGAAAGGAGACAGAAAGAAAGAGGAGAGGGTGAATAGATGGGGAGAGAGAGGAGGGGGGGGGCATATGGAAAGGAGACAGAAAGAAAGAGGAGAGGGTGAATAGATGGGGAGAGAGAGGAGGGGGGGGGCATATGGAAAGGAGACAGAAAGAAAGAGGAGAGGGTGAATAGATGGGGAGAGAGAGGAGGGGGGGGGCATATGGAAAGGAGACAGAAAGAAAGAGGAGAGGGTGAATAGATGGGGAGAGAGAGGAGGGGGGGGGCATATGGAAAGGAGACAGAAAGAAAGAGGAGAGGGTGAATAGATGGGGAGAGAGAGGAGGGGGGGGGCATATGGAAAGGAGACAGAAAGAAAGAGGAGAGGGTGAATAGATGGGGAGAGAGAGGAGGGGGGGGGCATATGGAAAGGAGACAGAAAGAAAGAGGAGAGGGTGAATAGATGGGGAGAGAGAGGAGGGGGGGGGCATATGGAAAGGAGACAGAAAGAAAGAGGAGAGGGTGAATAGATGGGGAGAGAGAGGAGGGGGGGGGCATATGGAAAGGAGACAGAAAGAAAGAGGAGAGGGTGAATAGATGGGGAGAGAGAGGAGGGGGGGGGCATATGGAAAGGAGACAGAAAGAAAGAGGAGAGGGTGAATAGATGGGGAGAGAGAGGAGGGGGGGGGCATATGGAAAGGAGACAGAAAGAAAGAGGAGAGGGGGCATAGATAGGGGAGATAGAGGGGGACATATAGAAAGGGGGCAAGGAGAGGGGAGATAGAGAGGGTGCATAAAGGGGACAAAAAGAAAGAGGAGAGGGAAGAGAGAGGGGGCATAGAGAGAGGAGAAGGAGAGGAGAGGGGGCCTAGAGAGAGAGAAATAAAGGAGAGATGGACATATGGAGAAAAGAAAGAAACAGGGAGATGAGGCATATGTGAGAAAAAGGAAGACAAAAGGGGGGGCATGGAGAGGAGGGAGAGAAGCTAGAGGGAGAAAGATACACGGACAGAAGAGAGAGGGAGAAGGGGGCACTGAGAGAAGAGAGAGGGAGAAGGGGCATGGAGAGGGGAGAGCGGGAGAAGAGGGCATGGAATGGGGAGAGAAGATAGAGGGAGATGGGGCATAGAGAAGAGAGAGGGAATAGGAGAGAGGGAGGTGGAAAGAGGAGAGGGAGAAGAGTGATAGAAAGAGGGGGACATAGAGAGGAAAGAGAGAGAGAAGTGGAGAGAGGGAGGGGAGAAACAGAATAAGTGGAAAAAGAAGAGCAGAGGGGCATGAGGGGAGAGATACAGATGAGTAATGCAAGAAGGGGGGTGGCTGAGGACAAAGACCCATAGAGAGTGAAGGGGAACAAGGGGAGAGAGGGGTTGGGGAGGGGGTGTAGATAGTAAGCAAGACCGATAGAAAGAGAGAGAGAAGAGAGAATAAATAGAGAACGGGGAGGCAGAGAGTGAAAGGGAGAGATAAAGAGGAATGTAATGATGGTAGGAGAGGAAGAAAGGGAAGAGAGGAAATAAAGCACAGAAGGAATATAGATGGGTGACTTACCAAATTATTTTATGCTATCCCATTTACCATAATTCGACATCACTGGACTGGATGTTTTATGTAAAATGTACTCTTTAGAGCAAGAAATAGGTAAAAGAGAGGAGGATGAGAAAATAATTGGGAAATATGGGAGTAAGGAGTGAAGCGAGAGAACGAACTAGAGAACAGATAGAGAGGAAAATGTGAACTAGAGGGAGAGAAAGAATGAGGAGAGAGGGAGGAGATCATGAAAATGGAGCCGGGACTGAACAAGAAGGAGAAACTGATAGGTTAAAGGGAGAACGAGGGAAAAGGGGTAACAGAGAAAGGGAGGAAGGATGAGGGCACTGTCAGATGGAGAAGGGGGCAGAGAAAAGCAGAAAGACTAAAAGGTGAGAAGAGATACAGAAAAGAGATGCAGGATGGGCAGATCATATCTACAAATAGACAGACAGACAGACAGATAGATAGATAGATAGATAGATAGATAGATAGATAGATAGATAGATAGATGATATTATTATGACTGTAAAAGGTGTTAAAATGGCTTAGATAGCAGAATATAATGATAACTGTTCTATATTTATGTGTGATGATTGGAATTAATGTATTTATGGTTTTATTAGTGTTATTAGAACATTTGACAAAGGCAGTACAATTCCAGTGGAAATAATCAAAGAGAGATGTTGGAAAGTGGTGATGAGTAGTGATTGATGTGTTATTTCATACATGCATACACTAACACACACAGGCTCCTTTGCCTGGTAGACGCTGCAGCTTTAAAGATAAGAAGAGGGATCAGGAATGGGGGAGGAGAGAGAGATCTTGAAAAAAAAAAAGAGAGGTGGGGGTGCGAAGGGGCGTGGCCTCTCGCTTGTCAATTTACTACTCAGGATCGGGGTCACGTGAGCCAGGCTCGCCAGCCCATTGGCTGGAGGCACGTGTCTAGGATACCGGGCTCCCACGTCACTTGTGAGGCTCTATTAAAAATAAGAACAAAAATCCAGAGTGAAAGTATTTCAGGTCCAGTGAGTGCTTCCTAAATTATCCTCAGTACAGAGCCTGTCACTGAAGCACTGGGGATTATTTAGCACAACAAAAATAAGGACAGATCTGCCTTGCGTCCCATTGATCTCCTTCCTTTCTCAGTGTGCATGCTGTGCACTGAGCTATCTACACCTTGTATTCTTATATATGCTCCTCCAAGCCATCTGTAGCCTTGATGCCTGCATGCTGCACAGGCCACCTGTCTGCTGGTCCCTGTGAAGGATTTACCTGGTCCTGCCTGGATATGAGCCCGACTTGGAGAAGAGGATGCTTTGGCTCGCTGCAGTACTGAGTCAGTGATCCGCAGGAGGAGAGCACCGGCGACTTGGTCACATGTGCAGGCAGCACAACAAGGGTTAACGGAGGAAGCAGCTCGTGTGGACTTACAGCATGGAAGAGAATGACCAGAACCACAGGGAAGTGGAGCAGCACCAGGAGTCAGGGGACGAATCCAACCGAGGGATCCTGCTCCAGGCTCCAGGGAACCATCAGCCCCACCACAGGGTTACCAACTTCTTCATTGATAACATCCTGCGGCCGGAGTTCGGGAGAAGGAAAGAAGCCCACCATGATGAGTTCTACTTGGGCAGAGACAGTGTGGCTCGCTCTGGGTCCGAGCCCAACCAACACCGAGGCACTGCCACCGAAGGAGAAGGGGCATCCAAAGCCATCACTAACACCCCGGACAAGAAAAGTGAGGTGGCCATGGAAGGAGCCCTCAAACCCAGAGGCTCCAGTGGAGACCTTTCCATGAGCTCGGACTCCGATAGTTCTCAAGCCAGCTCCACCACCAACAAGCAGGGTATGCTGTGGCCAGCCTGGGTCTACTGTACCAGGTACTCAGACAGACCTTCATCAGGTAAGACCCATAGGGCTTCTCACCAGGAAAATTAACTGGGTAACAAAATGTAAATTGCTCCATACAACAGAAGACAGGGATTGCACTTTTTTCATTTGGGATATTCAGTCAGCAGCTAGCAGCCAAATGCACTATAAAAACAATTGGAGATTGCCAAGATCATATTTATTACGATGCTTTAATTAGTTAATTAGCGTCAGCTCCGCCGCTTCATACTGACAATTAGACGTAGGAAGGGGTTTGCATTTTAAATGAAGCATCATTTGGGGCTTCATTCTCCTTACGCAATTTATTTGTCACAGAATGTTATGTGTTGTCAGCCTTGCTC